ACACACACGTTTTCGCACATTCGCACAACCAATCCTCGGTAAAAACAGAAAAGGGGCATCGAACCAACAACGCCACCTCTCCTCAATCTGCCTACGACGTGGGTGTCACGAGCGCAAAGAAAATAAAACCCTGACACCAACAAAAAAGCGTGTACTTCCCGCGGCGGATCGAGGCCGTTCGCTCGAGAAGAAAAGATCGGAAACGCAGTGGGGAGACACGAGTGGTCCAGAACAGGCAAGTTAGCCGGCACCCTTGTGGGGCCACCAGGCTGTAGGACCAGGGCTTGCTGTTCCCTGCACCAGTTCCAGTTCCTAGTTTCCACTGTTGCAGTTCTGCTTTTTGTTGCTTACTGTTCCTTGTTATAGACCGCGCGAGGGGGGGAGCCGAAAACCTCCCTGGTTAGCACCTCCCCGGAGGGGTCTCAGAATTTCTGAGGGAGTCGAAATTGACACCCCTCACGCAGATCGGCGGGGTCAGGGTCCAAAAACATTCGGGATTTGCCACATTTCAAAATCCGGTGGCACCCCTCACGCAGATCGGCGGGGTCGGGGTCCAAAAACCAATCGGATTTACCACATTTCTGAAAATATAAGCAGGGTCAGAATCCAAAACCACCTTTGATCTGCCACATTTCTGAAAAAAATCGGCGGCGCCTCTCACGCAGATAAGCGGGGTCAGGGTCGAAAAACACATGGGATTTGCCACATCGAAAAACCAATGGGATTTGCCACACTTTTCAATTCGGTAACACCCCTCATGCAGATCGGCGGGGTCAGGGTCCAAAAACACATAGGATTTGCTACATTCTCAAACTCGGTAGAACCTCTCACGCAGATCGCTGGGGTCATGGTCGAAAAAACCATGGGGTTTGCCACATTTCGGACACTCGATTGCACCCCTCACGCAGATCACCGGGGTCAGGGTCGAGTAACCCATGGGATTTGCCACATTTCTAAAATCTGGTGGCACCTCTCATGCAGATCGCCAGGGTCAGGGTCGAAAAACGCATGGTTTTTGCCATATTTCTGAAATTCGGCGGCACCCCTCACGCAGATCGGCGGGGTCAATGTCGAAAAACCAATGGGATTTGCCACGTCTAAAAATTCAGACACATGGGAATTGCCACATGTCTTGAAATTCGGTGGCACCCCTCACGCAAATCGCTGGGGTCAGCGTCAAAAAAAACATGGGATTTGCAACATTTCAAGAATTCGGAGAAAAGCTTTTTGCACAGCATACGCGAGCAAGCTCGAAATACAACACCGAATTCAACAATATCATCATAATCTCAAATTGTCTCGCCGATTACGCATCGTCTGCGCGTGAAGTCCCGACGTTGCTTCGCGGCGGCGCCAAGGCCTCATGATTTCGCTCTTGCATTGCCCATTATCCGAGAAGGGGCCAGCGGCAGGGGGCGAAGCCCTTACGGACAACCCTGCGCTGGTACGGGAAAAGCGTCGGCACTGTATCGCGCGCTCGGCCTGAAGACGGACAGGTGCCGATACTGACCCTCTCCCGTCCACGGTGCCTATGCGCCGCGTCCGAGCCATCACGAGGGTTCCACTGAAGAGGGAGCAATGTAGGCATCCCCATGTTCCGACAACTCAGCGAAACATTGCTGTCGGCTCGACCACCAGCTGCTTGCACGAGTCTTTGAGAGGACACGTGTGACCCTTTGCATGAAACCATATGCGAGGACTTGCGTCTTCCGAAACGCCACAAAAACGTACCTAACCAATCTGCGTCGAGTGACCACATCAGCGGCCCCAGCCAGAAAACACACAACAAAAGCATGAAGAACACAATTGAAAAACGACAGGGCGTGCGATCCCGGCTGGCAAAATATACAAGGAAACGTGGCTTTGTAACCCCGTGGGACACGTGTGGAGCCAGCTTCTGACAACGCAACAACAAACAAACAAACACAAAAAAACGACAAAAGTAAAAACAACAACAGCAACAACGATCATGTTTAGACTGTGCGCTCCTATCTGCTCACGTGCCAATCAATACGTCTATCCCAAGCCCTCGGTACCCGCCCTCGTCGTCTTCGATCGTACCCTCTTAGGGGTATAGTTTCCTTACCTGCCACGCGTATGTAGTGAAGCCCCTAGAACAAGGGAAGAGAGGACGGGTGGAAGGGAGAGGGAGAAGAATGGAGCACGAGAGAAATTAGCAGGAGAGGGGCAAGGAGCAGAAAACAAGTGGTAGAACCAGACGGGCAGATCGGGTGGGCAGACCCATAGCGGGCAAGTCGGGAAGGCGGGCCCAGGCGACGAGGTCGAGCAGGCGGGTTGCTGAAGCGTGGGTCCTGCATGGATCGCGAGGAAGTCTCGAATGACAGCGCGATTCCCAAGTAAATCGTGATAAAAGCCAGCGTAGGCCACGAAGGGCATAAAATCCGAGGCCACAGAGTACAGCGACGGGGCCGCTGAGGGCAGCTCTTGGGCCACGAAGGGCAGCGAGGGGGCCACGAGGGGCGACAGCAGAGCCACGAAC